TCCTTCTCTTCCCTTTCATCTCGCTCCCTCCTACACGTCTTTGTTTCGCTTTGTTTCCTCTCAAAAAGGAAAAAAGCACACACGCGTACACACACAAAATCCACGAACGCAACAGTTGTATGAAACCTCCGCGTTCACAGTCTCGCTCGGAGCCCAGTTGTCAGTCTTGGCCTCACAGCCACCTTTTTGCAACCGGGGTGTTCGCCTCTTCCCTTTCATCTCGCTCCCTCCTACACGTCTTTGTTTCGCTTTGTTTCCTCTCAAAAAGGAAAAAAGCACACACGCGTACACACACAAAATCCACGAACGCAACAGTTGTATGAAACCTCCGCGTTCACAGTCTCGCTCGGAGCCCAGTTGTCAGTCTTGGCCTCACAGCCACCTTTTTGCAACCGGGGTGTTCGCCACAGTCAGTAAAATCTCCCTTTGGAGGGGGGGGGCTACACCGTACCTCCGTTTAATTAATCGCAATTTGGCTCTTTATAGAACGATTCCCGCAAGACTTGAATCTAACATTACAAATTATTATCCTCCAGTGTTAAAGTTTTTCTGTGTCACTGGGTTTTTTCGTACGACCATCATAGTTATGTCAAGGAGTGAATTTTCCTGTATCTTTTCTCTAGCCGTTCTCCTCGTGTCAACATTAATTTAATCATTTTAGTTTGTATTAAATTTTCCCCCCGTGTGGGGGAATATGGTACGTTTTCACCAAATTATTCCCATTTAAAACAACAACAACAACACTTCTCTGTGCTTTTCCTATTATCTAGCAATTCGAAACCTTTCCTCTCCCACTCCAAAAAACAACTTTTGCTCTCTGACGCTCTCTCTTTTGTTAGGCTCGGATACATTGTTAGAGCAACCGATGTAGCCCCACAGCCGGACTGGGGATAAATATAAGGGAGGCTCAGGCGCGGGAGGCCGCGTTGTTCCGAATTAGGTCAGAAAAAAAAATCAGATCAGCTGGGGAATAATTTTCTTTCTCTCCGCCCCCCCCCCCCCGCAGCTCGATCAGATTTGGATGAGACTATCCTCCAGCAGTTTGGGAATGGGCTTGAATCGTGAGATTGGGTTCGTGAGAAAGAATTTTAGCAATTCGTTTAGATCGGGACTGGCAGAGACAGAGAGAGAGAGAGAGAGAGAGATTGAGCTTTCTTCCCATCCTCTCTCTCTTTCATTCTCCGATCATATCCGCATCTGGAGCAAAAGTCTGGAGGCAGGTTTGGCATAGCATTTTTTTTGAAAGAAAGAAAGAAAGAAAGAAAGAAAGAAAGAAAGAAAGAAAGAAAGAAAGAAAGAAAGAAAGAAAGAAAGAAAGAAAGAAAGAAAGAAAGAAAGAAATGGGCCC